AAGAGGGCTCATAAAATTGATTACTCTGTTTATTAGGTCTGCAAGGAGACTAGATAAAAAGGAAATTAATTTGAATTTGTGTATGCACCAGTTGAGCTGAGCTTACTTAAATTGATTTAAGTAGACTGTAAATACAATTGATGTTTACAGAGCTTTGGCACATTTGCTAATTTATTCTGTATGCTATACAGTAACCACAACAAACCTTTAACCACACTAATATTTAAGGATACAAAGAAAAAACGCAAGGAGGAATTGTTTTATTACAATGGATACATTACATTACTTACATTCCACCCCCATTTTGTTTCTCAGTAGATAACAGATACAGCACCTCAATCCTCTACCTTTTAATCAAATATCAGGAAAATGTAAGATTTTCACATGGGGTAGAGGAAGTATTTCTCTTCCAGAAGTGAGGTCTGAATGTAATGTCAGTCTTGTGATGTTAGTCCATTTGTCCACGCCTAGCGAGTCCAAACCACAACACGGCCACTAGCTATCCCAGCTTTCTTAGTACTACGCTGTACTACTGCACTTGGGCAAGTCAGTGAAATCTTTATGAAGGAAAAGACTTACACTAAGATACTTCATTACGAAGTTCAGTGAGTTTGGACAGCTAGGTGTACAATTTCACCTGCAGATAGCAGATAACAAGTAGCTTGTTAAATATAAAAACTTTTTTTAAAGTGGCATATTTTTACAAGAACAGCTGGATGCTTGGATTGTAAAGTTCCAGAAGCAGATTTTGGGCATGTAAGTGCAGGGGAGGAATCCAAAAAGTAGTAAGTTTGTTCAGAGATAAAAATCCAATTCCGGTGTTATAATTTATTGGCTTGTATTCAATAACTGCTATCTTCAACTATCTTGTGGGGATTTTCATCTGACATTTGATTTACGGTTTTTACCTTACCTGCAATGCAACTGAAAAGAAACCAAAATATCCTCCCCCCCAATGAAATTAGTTGTATTAGTGAGATTTAGGATTAGGGCCCTACCAGATTCACAGTCCATTTTGGTCAATTTCACAGTCATAGGATTTTTTAAACTGTAAATGTCATGATTTCGGAGATTTAAATCTGAAATGTCATGATGTTGTAACTGTAGGAGTCCTGGCCCAAAACGGAGCTTTAGCGGGGATTGCAAGGTTATTGTCGGGGGCAGCCAGAGAGCAGTGAGTGCTGGCTGGGAACCCAGCTCTGAAGGCAGTGCTGCGGCCAGCAGCTGTGCAGAAGTAAGGATGGCACGGTATGATATTGCTACCCTTACGTCTGTATTGCTGTCTTCACACCTCGGCCCTCGGCCAGCAGCCTCCACACTCCAGCTGCACAGCTCTGAAAGCAGCAGCACAGAAGTAAGGGTGGCAATACTGCAACCCCCCTACAATAACCTTGTGACCACCCTGAAACCTCCTTTTGGATCAGGACCCCCAGTTTGAGAAACACTGGTCTCCCCCATGAAATCTGTATAGTGGAGGGTAAAAGTACACTATAGACCAGATTTCGTAGTCCATGATGCATTTTTCACGGCTGTGAATTTGGTAGGGCCCTACTTGAGAGACAGGAATCTATATGAATGTGTGATCTATTTGTATAGGTATTGTACATTTGTGCGCACACTCACACAGAGTATGTACTGTGACAGATCCAGACCAGTGGGGTACAGGAGTCTTGTAGAAGACAAATATACTGGCTACTGGATGAATAGTTTTCTGTTCCCTGAGTGACCAGAGCAGGGGCTGCCCTAGAGCAATCAGGAACCTGCTAGAACCAGTTAAGACAGGCAAGCTAATCAAGACACCTGGAGAAAATTAAGAACTTTCCAGAATCAATTATGGCCGGCAGGCTAATCAGGACACCTGGTTTAAAAAGGACCTCCCATCAGTGGGGGAAGGGGGGGGGGCGTAAGGAGTTGGGAGTGAGAGGACGTGCTGCTGGAGGACTGAGGAGTACAAGCATTATCAGACACCAGGAGGAAGGTCCTGTGGTGAAGATAAAGAAGGTGTTGGGAGGAGGCCAGGCGGAAGTAGCCCTGGAGTTGTAGCTGTCACGCAGCTATTTCAGGGGGCACTCTAGACAGCTGCAATCCACAGGGCCCTGGGCTGGAACCCAGAGTAGAGGGCGAGCCCAGGTTCCCCTGAAACCTCCCAACTCCTGATCAGATACAGGAGGAGTTGACCTGGACTGTGGGTTCCACCAGAGGGGAGGTCTCTGGGCTGTTCCTCGACCTACATGGTGGATCAGCAGAGACTGCGGGGGTTGTTCTCTTTTTCCCCATGCTGGCCAGTGATGAGGTTATCTGAGTGAATGGCAGATTTGAGCCACGAAAGGGCCAAACTGAGGGCTGCCGTGAATTTCTGAGGCAAGCAAATCCGCTAATAAGCGCAGGACCCACCAAGGTAGAGGAGGAACTTTGTCTCCGTATGCATACTAGGACTATGTAACAGTATGTTTCGCATCATGTTCTTCCATGAAAATAGGCAGCAGAGACAGCCCAAGATTTCCTCCCATAAGCATTCATTCATAGGAAAGTATGTTCCTGTGACTTAATTCTCACATTCCTGGACTTACATGGAGATCCAGCTACTCAATCACAAGTCCTTCTTTCAAAGAATGCATATTTCAGAGCCTTACATTTAGATGACGTGCTCTCTTGCCCTCCCCTCCTCTTTCCTTGTCCCATCTCCTCAATAGATCTGTGAACCAGTTCAGTTTTCTCTTTATTTTATTAATAATAAAATATATTATGTAAAGATAGATGAATATGACTAAACAATAAATATAATCCAGGGAATAATCCAATCTGGGAAGAGAAAGGAGGAAGGAACCCAGAGCAGTCCTAATTGTAAACTAAAAAAAGACTTTAAAAATGTCAAAAGGAAAATCTAGTTTCAATTGTGGTCTTAAAAAACCTCTGATCAAAATGTTTATTTTGCCATTGTCAAACTGTGAGTGCTTGTTTTCAATTCCCATCCCAACCTCTATTTAAAAGATAAACACTGCAATGCACTTACATGACATTTTCCTTTTCTAGCTTACAGTTAGGAAGGAAAACATTTAACTAAGGCTATGTCTACATGGCCCCACAGTTTGGAATTAGGGGGCATGAATGAATGCATACTCGTGTGCTTCGCTGTTGATCCTCCCTCCTCCCCCACCTCAGTGATCACTATGAGCAAACTAAAAGATACCTATCAGAGTAGCAGCCTTGTTAGTCTGTATCTGCAAAAAGAAAAGGAGTACTTGTGGCACTTTAGAGACTAATAAATTTATTTGAGCATAAGCTTTCGTGAGCTACAGCTCACTTCATCAGATGCATCCGATGAAGTGAGCTGTAGCTCACGAAAGCTTATGCTCAAATAAATTTGTTAGTCTCTAAGGTGCTACAAGTTCTCCTTTTCTTTTTAAAAGATACCTAATTCGTGTTAATACCATCTTCTTAAACAGGCCTAAGTTAATGCAAAGGAGGTATCTTTTTGTTTCTGCTCGCAAAGTCCACATGGGGGAGTTACAGTGTATCACTTTGTGGTCCTAACTGCAGGGTTGTGTAGTCAGGTCTTAAGACATCCATAGAACACTGTACTGGATCCACGCTAGCAGACCCTGATTCAGGATCAGGGCCTAGTAGAAAACTAAAAGGAGCTTTCTTGATTTTTTTATCTGAAATAAACTTACCAGGATTAAAACACATATTATTTCAGCCATCTTCTGGGAGCCTAGCATCTCCTTGCAGAAACCTCCAAGAGGTCATTTATTTTTTAAACTGAACTGGATTAGAAGTTCAGTATGTGTCTGTGCATGGGGTTTGGGGAAGCTGGCTTTAAGACCAGCAATTTGGGGGTATATTTATTTAGCTGAATTATAGTAACTGCAGTTTTATATCCTAACGCAGGGATTCTCAAACTTCATTGCACCACCACCTCATTCTAACAACCAGAATTACTACACGACTCCAGGAAGTGGGACCAAAGCCCGAGCCCCATCACCCTGGGCAGTGGGGCAAAGCCAAAGCCGTGGCACCAAAGCTTGAGGGCTTCAGCCTCGGGCAGTGGGGCTCAGACTGGCTTCAGCCCTGAACCCCAGCAAGTCTAACCCCAGCCCTGGAGACCCATTTTGGGGTCCCGACCCACAGTTTGGGAACCGCTGTCCTAATGTAAATATCAGGATGACGATCAATATAAAACAAAAACCCAGTGAACAAAACTTTGAAAAGCAATCATTCAGTTCTTGTTCTGAGCAATTAAACAGGATCAAATTAGGGCTAACTAGGAATCCTGGCACACCCAACATGGTACTCTCCATTCCCTTACTCCCACACCCCTCTTTTGGGCAGCAGCAGGTTTCAGAGTTGAGATACATGGTAGAATTCACACCTCTTGGAGCTACTGATGCACACAGTCTGCAGACTCAGACAGGTATTAGTTACACGAGGTTCCTGTTTTCAAGATTTTCTGCGTATCCACAGAAATGTCTACACTGAGCACTAAGCCCAGGCTCTGACTTGGGTTTGAGCCCAAGCTCCCCTCCGAGCCACACAAAAATCAGTCTGACTTGGGTCAGCAAGCACTCAGAACCCAGATCCTAGATCCTGCCATGGGGATAGGTAAGAACCTGAGTCCTGCTGTGACTCAGGTCCAAGCCCTATCATTTTGAAGTAGGGAGGTATCTGGAGTCAGAAAGTCTGTGTAGTGCAGAACGGAGGTGTTAGCATGCCTGTGAGACCTAGGTCCAGCCATTGTAAACCCAGGTTTACAATGCAGCATGGATGCTCAAGCACAGGCTTGGAAACACCAAATCCATAAACTTGGGTCCCACAGATTCAGGCTGAGTGTGAAGTGTAGACATACCCCAGTAGGGCTAACAAGCAATTTTTTTTTAAATGAAAGCCAAGATTTTGTTATTATTCTGTGACTCCAGTATTGGGATCCTAGGCACAGGCTTCTGTACCCTATGCCTTAATTTCTTAACTGCAGAGCCTGATTATCATTTTATTAACTTTACCGTAGAGGTATTTGTTTTGCCCACGCTGCTCTCTTCTCATCAAATTTCACAACTCGCAAGTGATTGGTATGTTGAACTCTGAATCCTGATGAACCCTACAAATCAAATGGAGCGTAGAGAACAGTATTGAGAAGTCACAATGTTCAAAAATCATGAGCCATGCCCCAAACAATCATGAGCTTCATTTAAACATCATGAACTTTTAAAAAGAGTACATTTTGCGTTCTCTATATTTTCAGGTTTTTCTCAGCAACCCACTTCTAATTTTTTAATTTTTAATTAAAGCTGGAGAGATTGTCTGGTAATAACCTGATTCCAGTAGAAAGAAAAACACCATATATCTCATGATAAAAATTGTGTAAGTTATTAACAATGGAACAGTAGGGTTTCTTTTTTTTTTCCTTCCATCTCTTCAGTGCAATTCACAGGAATAAAAAAATGTTTCTCTAATGGAGACGTTCAAATTCTAACCAGCTACATTTTTGCTAGAGGTAGTTGGGTGCTAAAAGAAAACGCTGATCCATTAATACTTCATGAATAACTAGCATTCGCTAAGTTATGATTCATGGATTGCATGAGAAGTATTAATGATTATATGGAGTGTCACAGTATATATTCCTGAAATATTTGAAAATGATGAAAGTTTAAACAATGTTTATTTTTAATGTTTTAATGTTTATTTTTCCAAAAGTTCCTAGCAGCAGTTAATTATTTTCCACTCAGCAAACAGAAACAATTTAATGTGACTTATGTGAGTAACCATACATTATGAATAATGAATACTGAGTAGTCAAAGTGCATAGTTCATGAACTGTCCCATAGGCTTTAAATTATTTGTTGAAACTTGCTGACAAATACATTTTCAGAAATCAAAATCAGTTTATGAATGGTTCATTAAATAAAAAGGGACTATATTGATAATGAATATAATTACAAATGAGTAGTTTGACCATTTCTATTTCATCATGTTTATATAGACATGAATGACCACAGTGCTAAATCAAGTTGTCTCTGTGATTTTGGAAGCTTCCCCAGCTGCCAATGTGATAGCACTACTAATGTTCCAAATAAATAAAACAAACAAACCAACAACAAACCCCAGTTACCCTTTGTTTAGAAAAATCAAGATTCCTGAGTAACAGCAGCGCACTAACATGTCACATAACTTACAAAACTCAAGCACTTAAAAACAAGACAATAGTTAATTGCATGGTAAATCTTACACTGCCTATATCACATAAATCACATTTTTACCAAGTACAAAGACATGTACATTGAATTAGAACAAACAACCTTAACTCTGACTCACAATGAAATGTTTTCTTCATTAATCTCAAAACAAAGAGAAAAGCCATCTGAAAACCTACCAAAATATTTATATAACTATGATTCGATTCACACACACACACACACGTATGTGAGAATTGAATTAGAGAGAGAGAGAGACAGAGAGAGAGAGGTGACCTTAACATAAGTCCATGCATGAACATAATTTTACCATAAATTAATGTTACATATTTTGCTATTAAACTTCATATGCAACATTCTAGCAGTATTCAAGAAACATCATTTCTAAGCAATTAACAACAAAAATATAGTATCAACTGACATAAGCACAAAATCTTTATTACTTACTATCTCTAAAAAGAACCTAGATATCAAAATTAAGGTATCGAGATAATACATTAAAATTAAACAACAATCTAGACAGGTGGCAATTTGTGAGTACTCTTTGACGTGCTAAGAATTGAGCACATCATCTTATTTTTGTTACACCACCTCCCACAAGCCCCATTCAGGCCTACTTGTTTGGCTCATCCATCTGTTATGTCTACACTTTTAGACTTCAAGCCCTTTGGAACAGATACTCTCATTTCCTATATATTTATACAGCACTTAGCACAATGTGGTCTCAACCTGGGGGGGCCTCTTGACACTACTGCCATATCTATGATAAATATTGGCCAAGATTTTCAAAAATGACAAGTGATTTGGGGGTCTTTAATTTTCAGAGCCTAACCTGAGACGCTACAAAGTGATTTGATGCTCAGCACTTGAAAATCAGGCCTCTTTTAAGATGTCTCAAGTTGGACACCCAAAATCACTAATCGCTTTTTAAAATCTTCACTAATGTGTCTGCTTGTTACATCAGCAGTGTAAAATTTATTCTCTTTCCATAACAGGTCAGATACCTACATAACTGGAACTAGAACTCTTACCCTACAGCCGCATCAGGGCCAGGATCATGAAATCCAGACTGAGAACTAGCCTCTGATACGGTTAGACATTTGTGGTGCAAGGAACCTTCTTTTAATGGATAGCTGGGTCAAATCTAGTAACAGGGCTCTCTTGGCCATACGAGAACTATGAGGCTGACATCGGTCATAAATTCCAAGATTCCAAGACCAGAGGAGACCACCACTGTGATCATCTAGTCCAACCTCCTGTATAACACAAGCCATAGAACTTCCCCCAAATCATTCCTAGAGCATAGTTTTTAGAAAAAACAAATTTTCAGTGATCAGTGATGGAGAATCCACCACAAGCCTTGGTAAATTTTTCCAAGGATTAATTGCTCTCACTGTTCATAGCTGCTAGTCTGAATTTGTCTAGATTTAACTTCTAGGCATCGCATTATATTATACCTTTCTCTGTTAGATTGAAGAGCCCATTATTAAATATTTGTTCCCCATGTAATCAAGCCACCTCTTTAACTTTGTCTTTTTTGGTCCAAATCTTTATCACCATGTTATGCACAGGATGATTTAGGGAGACAATCAGCACTGGCTCTTAAATAATATAATTAAGAAGATGTGCACCTGACTGACTGAACATTATGTGGGAAGATGAAGAGATCTTCAATGGACCATCTATCCTCACTAGTGTATGGGCAGAGACAATCCAGTAGCAGAGAGAGGAGCTCATATTGTGAGCAGGTTGAACCCCATGACATGGGCTCAGTAACTCTCAGCGAGATTTTTCTCTGTCCCTTGAAACGATCTTCTTGACTCAGACAGAAGCCTGTGGCTTTTTATTTCCCTCTTACTGGTTCAGGTAAGCCACTGGTATGGAATTTTCTGACCAAACTTGCACTGGTTCACTTGTTAAAACCCACTGGAATGCAAAAAGGGCTTTTTACAGATTTTGGCTCGAGAAAATTATGTGAAGCTTTACTAGAACTGTTTTTTCTTGAGCCATTCTATCATTAAATTGTACAGACTCATCTGCCTTTAAGGTAGGTCAATATAGATTGGGCAGACAGATTCCCTTTAACAGATTAAAAGAGTCCTGGGGCTACCGCAAAATGGAAAAGTTCAGAGGAAGATATATCAATGCAAGTTATGCTCTTGGGTAGTTCCAGTTAGTAAAAGTACAGCTTCAGATTCCAAGAAGAGAAAAGTCCAAGTGATGTTGTCATTTCCTTCCAGTCCCATGAGCGAGAAAAGGCCGAAAATGCTGGAGGTAAAATGTTGGCTGTTTCACTGGTGTGAAGATGAAGATTTTGGTTTTATGGAAAATTGGGCCACATTCCACTAGAAGTGGGGACTGTATGAACAGGACAGCCTGCATCCCACAGGTGTGGGAGTGGAGGGTGCTAATCTTCTGGGTTGTAACTAGCTGGAGCAGCCAGAAGGGCATTTAACTAACAACAACAGGAAAGCTTTCTAAGGAGGCAAATTCAGTACAACTCAAACACAGCTTACAGTGAACAAATTGAACTGACAGGGCAAAGAATGTTATGAGAACCAACTGAAAATTTTCATATATACTAATGCTAGCCAATGCTGGGCAAAAAGCAAGAGGAACTCAAATTTCTCATTGATGAGAAGAAATTGGATATAATTGACATTACTGAAACCTGGTGGAATGATTCACATGATTGGCATGTTAAGGTCACAGTGTAGTAGGTAACACCTCCCTGGGGGCCCTGGGTAACAGGGTGGGTACCACTCTTGCCTCAGAGTTTGGAAAACAGTCCTCTTGTGCCACACTCAGAGCATTTGCTCCCTTGTGGGGGAGATAGGAGGGGCAGGAATTAGTCCAGAAGAAAAAGTCAGGACTAATTGGCTCCCAGAGCCAATAAGAGGCAGAATCGAGGTACTTCAGAAAGCCAAAGAGAAAAGAAAAGAATCGGTCCCATTCTTTCCTCAGAGAACTTGGGCCCCCAAGGCTCTTAGGAGGTTTCCCCAGTGAGCAATCCCTTCTTCCAGAGGCTCAGGGAGCTCTAAACTACAAACCAGTCCTTCAATGCCACTCCCAAACTGAGTAGGGAGTCTCCCTTTTAAAGCCCTGCCCCCTACAGGCTTGACAGACCTTGCAGGTCTGCCAGGTGAGCTGATTGTGCCTTCAACCCCATCTTGACTAAGGTGGGGATACACCCCACCGCACATTAGTTATAATTTATTTAGGAAGGATGGAGGGGATAAGAGAGGTAGAGGTAGCATTTTCCATTGAAAACATCGTTACTCGTTTAGATTTATCGATAACTCAGAACCACAGGATCTTGAACACATATGGATCAATGTCCTAACAAAGCTCCAGAAGGAGCATGGGTGGGGGGGTCTGTTACAGACCAGCAACTCAAACCAGAGAACAGAATCAGTTACTCCATAAGCACCTGTCTGTAATGTGTGAAAAGAATAATTGCGTAGTGAGGGACTTCAGTTGGGGAAACATATGTTGGAGGTTTCATGAAACCAGTTAAGAAAACCAAAACTTTATTGGTTTTTAAACATTATAGATGACAATTTTCTAATACAAAAAGTATTGCGCTCAATCTGAGGTAACCCTATTTTGGACCTCATTATAATGGATAAAGACTAATTTATTCACTTGCCTAGAAGCTTGTGGTTGCCTGGGGACCAGTGATTATGACCTGATCACATTCAATATGGGCACACACTGGATAATAAATACACTTGGTACTTCAAAAGGGCTAATTTCCCAAAGATGAGAGAATTTATGAGTTAAATTCACTGGGAAGAAAAATCTAGACCAAAAAATGTGAATGCAAACTGGGTTCTTTAAAAAGAATTTATAAGACAGCCAATAAGCAATGATTCAAAAAAATCAAGAAAGAGAACAACTTTGGCTAAAAGCCCAATCTGGTTCAGTGGAGTGAAGGCAGCAATTAGAAAAATAGCATATAACAACCAGAAAAAGGGGGAAATAGATATAACTCATATAAATTATAAGTTATGAAGTACAGAAAAGTAATATGGTAAACTAAGGACATCGGGAAAAAAATACATGACTGGCAGGGCTAAGGACAATAAGGAATTAAGGTAGTGGTTCCCAAACTTGTTCTGCCGCTCGTGCAGGGAAAGCCCCTGGCGGGTTGGGCAGGTTTGTTTACTTGGATACGTGCCTCGGTCCGTGCCGCTTCCAGCAGCTCCCATTGGCCTGGAGCAGCAAAACCGCGGCCACTGGGAGCCACGATTGGCTGAACCGGCCAACGCAGCAGGTAAACAAACTGGTCTGGCCCGCCAGGGGCTTTCCCCGCACAAGCGGCAGAACAAGTTTGGGAACCACTGAATTAAGGAATTTAAGTATATTATATACAAAAAATCATAACAAAGATCAATAGACCCATTGCTAAATACACATGGTAAAACTGTTAATGATGCCAGAGGCGGATTAAGGTTTCCTGGGGACCTGGGCCAGATCACTCCTTGTTCCGCCCCTTCTGCCTGTGGCCCTGCCCAACAGCTGCACCCCTTTCTGCCCCTTCCCCAGGGTCCACCCCTGTTTCACAGAGGGTCTTGGCTTGGGGACCACTGAGGAGGGGGTTCTTCCTCCATCCCACAGCTTCTGCCAGGGTTGGGCTGAGGCTGCTGGGGGGGAAGGGGTTTCTCTGTCCTGCAGCTTCTGCCAGAGATGGGGTCAGGCCGTGGCCGGGGGCTTCCCCCGTCCTGTGGCTTCTTCCAGGAATGGGTTCAGGGGTCACGGGGGGAGAGGGATTTCTCCTCCCCACACGCCTGGCACTGCTGCTGGGGAGCGGGGTCACGGCGCAGGGGTTTACTCCGCCTGGCACTTCTGCCACAGAGCAAGGTTGGGGCATGGGGACTTTTCCCACCCTGCCTGCCCGGCGGCTAGGGCTCTGGGCTTCCACCCTGGGTGGCAGATTATTTTTCCAGGGGGCCCCCTGTTGATGCAGAATCCGCCACTGATGATGCAGAAAACACATCAATAAATATTTTTGTTCTAAATTTGGAAGGAAGCAGAATGATGTACTTGTATCAAATGAGGATGATCAAACTTTCCTGTCCATTAGTAACTAAGGAGGACATTACACAACATTTATTGGGATAAACGTATTTATATCCGCAGGCTTGGATAATTTGTATCCAAGAGTTCTAAAAGGGTTGGCTGAACAGACCTCCAGCCCACTGATGTTAATTTTTTAGTAAAGCTTGGAATATCAGGATGACTGCAAAAGACTGGAACACTTCTAATGTTGTGCTAATAGTCAAAAAGGGAATGCCCCAGCTAACTATAGGCTGGTGAGCCATACAACAATCCCAGGCAAAATAGTGGAAAAAGCTGATATCAGATTCAACTGATAAAAGAATTAAAGGGTAGGAATATAATTAAGGCCTGTCAACATTGTTCTATGGAAAATATGTCTTGTCAAAGAAATCTGATTTAATTATTTGATCAGATTACAAGTTTGGTTGATACAGATAACTGTGTGATTATAATATACCTAGACTTTTGTAAAGCATTTGGCTTAGTACGGTGTGACATCCTGATTAGAAATTCCTCAGAAATTTAATTTTTCAATGAAACAAATTCCAGCAAATATTTTTATTTTGAATTGAAAATCGGCATTTTATCTTTTGTCCCTCCCCATCCCTTTCTCCTTTTTTCCCCAAAGGAAAAAAGGGAGATAAAAAGGGGAAGGAAAAAAAAGTCTCTGGACAATGGTGAAAGGAGAAAGAACAATCTGCGAAGAAAGGCATATGGAAGGAAACTTTAGAAAGTTTATAAACTAGCCATAATCACAATGTTCCCCAGAAGCTAGAGATGATGAGGCAGGAACACCATTGTTGAAAAGGAGCCAGCTGGCCCCTAATATGGAGTTGCCAGAGAGCTAGTCAGAATTCCCTGAATGTATAAACTGCTACACCTGCATATGATAGCCAATCCTTCGTTTCTGTAACAACTGTGAGCCAACATATTTTGGATGAGGAGTAGGTCTGTATGTAAAAGTCTTGATCTTCCCCTATATTGAAGTTACATAGGTCTTTTTCCCAAACAGATCTTTAAGGCCTTGATCTACATGTTCCCTCCATAGGAGTCCACCAATATAGAGAAGGAATCAAAACTTAACCAAGAATTCTGCACCAGATCATTGACAATGTGCCCTGCAGGCTCTCGTTGGCATAACCCCCAACCCTGCAGATAGATGCATGACGTCTTGGAAAGTATCATGCAAACATTTTGATACCATACCCAGCAAAATGGAAATTCTCCAGGACCCATTAAGACAGATCTCATGAAGAGAGAAAAATAATTTTGTAAGGACTCTAGCCTAATGTAAATGGACAGACAGTTCTAAATAAATGTAAGAAAATTAATACACTCTCTTTAACAGCAGATGTCTGAGAGTTGATTCCCTCCATTGTGGAGAATTTTCTGGAGCAGCTAGCTAACACAGAATCCACTTTATCAGCGATAGCTTGCTTCTTTGCTCTTTTTCCTGGCAATATTGATAATTTGGAGACGTTTATAAAAAGGAATTTCAGGAAAATGACCAACAATATTTATAGACCTTTTATCAAATGAGACTGAGGGAGTTGGAACTGTCTTAGCCTTAAATGATGGTGCAAGTGGAGACTTAACAACCAAACGCTTTCTACAAAAATGCAGGTGTGCCCATGCTGTGCTCCAGCTGTGACCAGGATTTAGGCCAGCAGAGAAAAATCTGAAAGTGGGGAGAATAGCATTCTCAAGGTAAGTCCATGTTTGGAATTACTTTGGTTTACCTGGTCGTGAGACCTTTGAGCTGCTGAATGCTGTTCCTCGCAGGCTGCTGTCGAGAGTCTGGGGGTTTGCGTTACCATTGAGATCACCACATCCGACAGTAGATAAGTCTGGAATGAGAGGCAGAGAGACCCAGTCAGACCGGGTTACATGGCCTCAGAAGAGGAGCACTTGTCAGTTTTCCTCTTGGCCTTCTCCAGTTTATCAATCATTTTTAATATCCTTTGAGATGGGAGGCTTATCTGAACCATGGGGGAATAAAGCTGTGACAGAAAAAGCTATAGAAGAGAGACACACAAAGACTCATGCTGCTCAACTGATGCACGTGTGGTTGTGAGGCAGGTTGTAGCAACTCAGGACGCTAACAGGAGCCTCAAGACAACCTGGATCAGAACGCAAAATTCTGCCATTTCAATGGGCACTTGCACTGTTCAAGTCTGACAACAGAGTTGCAGCTGAATAAAATACAGACAATTTCCCTACTGCAAGCAGAGCTTCCCCCTATAACGGGAATTTCCAGATGGTTTAAGTTCACTTTGTGCCAAGTAAGTGGAACAAAATGAGCTTGGTAGACCAAAGCATCCATCCCTTGGTCTTCTGGGAAGGTCAGGGTGGAAATCTTTATGGAATCAAACATGAAAGGTGTGCCAGAATTTTTATATCCACAAGAGCCTTTTTCCTGCACTCTTCAAATACCAGACGTTTCTGTGCCTTCCTTTGTGTCTTTCCAGTGGAGCCTTATTTCATAGCCCCCTTCTGGAACAGCCTTCATGTGCCTAACTTACTTCTTGATGTTACCCCAGGCTACATTTCAAGCCTCATTTCTTCTGCCCACCTTATGTCTTGTGTTCTTTCTAATAAAACAATAAAATGTATCAGGATAAAATGATTTATTTAATTTCTTAATGAGTTATATTATTTTCCAAAGACTTTTGATAGCTCCTAGAATCACACATTAAATGTGTTTTTTAATGAAACATTTAATTCCTCAATCAATTTATAAAATAAAGGTATTTGCAACATCATTAGAGGTTAGCTTTCATGAATCCAGTCCTGATTTTCCACCTGTCTTGAACAACATACTCATTCTCATTAGTACAAGGTGACTGTAAAACATAATAAATTCCAAATTCTATACCCACATGCATACTGTTTTACTACACCCATTTTGCACAAGTGTAAATGATTCCACAAGGGACAAGGCCATAGGGAAATCAGGCCTTCCATGTTGTTCCAATTAACTTTGATATGAACAACAGATGAACTATTCCTGAATGGACAAAAGCAGGGCTATGATTGTCACAGAAATTTTGAATACATTTAACTGCAGAGGTGTGGGGAAAAAACGAGTCATGGAAAGGGGGCAGTAGGACAGGGTGTTGTAGAGTCAGCCCACACTGCACTCACTCCCTCAGTAGGGCCTCCTGTCCTTTGGGGCTGGACTCAGCTCCCTACTCCGGGTGCTGCAACCTAACGCACAAGATAGCAACACCACTGAGGTTAGGATGGAGGATAGAGGGAGGGACAGACGGGCCAAACCTGCATGCACCAGGTCACATCATCACTCAGTTTGGAAACATTTCACTCAGTTTGGGGTATTTCATGGACTTCCTTCAAATTCACAGTTTCTGTGACCACTGTGACAAAACTATAGCACTAACTAAAGTCAAAGCCTTTTGAGTTTGTCTAATGAATGTGTACTCCCATATATTTATAGAATAATGAGAGATTTAAGCTATTTCATGCCATCTAGCCATCTTGACAGCTTGAGGTTAAGTTGTTTTTCTTTCATTTCTTCTCTTGTGAACATTATGATCCCCTTCTACAAAACATCTCCAAAAACTGTGACTTTGTAAATATGGAAGGCGGTACCCTAAATATGTTTGGAAGACTATACTGTTATAATCCCTGTTTCCATACTTAACTGAAAAACTCATAGAATAGTAAATATTAAATTTTAGCCCATATTCAATATCCTGATACTTGTGCATGCAACAAAAGACAAGTTATAATGGTGCTGGTCTAGACAACAATTAACTGATCCATGTTCTATCCCTCTGCAGGAATCATTGATTTTAACACATCCTGTAAAGCAGATAAAGGCTCCTACTATAGCTCTGATTTATTTAAATATTGTGTGACTGCATATTTAATGCTTTCCATTCTTATTATACTCATAAATTTGTCAGACTAAGGCTTCTTACAAATGTTGGTGCACTGTATCATTGCCTGCTTTTATCAATAGCTTTCTCAAAAATACTATTAGCAAAGCAACAGACCCATTTAAAGGCCATTCATCTTTTCACTTTTGCTATATAGAAACAAGTATTCATTATGATTTATATTATGATTATTATTGCTTATTAAAGGCATTAGACTTGATCCAGGTGGCTCCCCTAGCCCATGTAGTGCCTTGCAGACTTCAATGGGGATCTGTCTACAATGGGGGTCTGCTAACAGATTAACACTGTTGGCAACACATACTGATAAATGAACCAAGCTTTTGCTGGAAGAGAGGGGTTATTGCTGGAACACTTCAGCCATATTACTGACTACATTTGGGACCCAAATGTTGCCATTTCTACAAAAAGTCGGGAGGCTATTTATTTTTTTGCGTTGATGTGAAAGCGGGTGGAACAATCATAATTCAAGGGTATTAGCAGAAGGCCAGAGACCTTCATCTCTCTTTAGCTCTATAAATATTTAATGTATCCAAGTTATATTAACCCTTTTTCCTGCATCTAATTTATGGATACATGAAAAAAAAAATCAAAGTGCTAATCACAAGATAATGTTTTGGTTTTGTATTTTGATCATTGCAGTTATGAGAACAGTTATTGTCAAGTATTAACAGTAAATTGAAATTGGATATTTAGTAATGTGATATAGAAATCTTTTATGGAGAAGACGCAGTGGACTCCTGGAAGCAAAGCAAGAGACTGATCCTGCAGCATTGCTGTTAGCGGTACATTTTCATGGACATCATTACTGCAGGATCAGGCACCAAATCAAGGGATCAGAATTCAGGAAGTTAGTAGCACTGGAGTGGCAAAACACACAGCCCAGGAGGCGAGAGCATCCTGTGTTCTTGGTGCTAAGGACTCCAGCAGATTTATTTTAGCTGACAGACTGGAGGAAACTACGTACTGATAACTACTCAAGAATAGAATGATAATCTCCTCACTGGCAGAGCAAAGGAACAAAAATAGGTGGTAGTGAGGGGGGTGACGGTGTTAGTGGGGGAAAGCAGAATTTTACTATACACAGTTTACTTTCTGAAAAGCAGATTTTCTCTATCAAATTTGCTGTGTGGACTAGAACCTGGGACAGATGACTTCCCACAGTGCCACTGGGAGGCCATGCAGAGCCAGAGCCAGCGAGCACTGCAGAGAATAGGTGTTGCAGGAAGTACCACCCAAGGGAGACAGAGGGACAGTACCCTGCGGCCCTCTACCGGCCAAGCACCCTATTTAACTCTGGGAGTTGCCCCAGGAAGTTGTCTGGCCAACCACACAGACTTTGGCCTGCTGTGACTCCAGACTTTATCTTGTCTCCTGATCTTCAGTTTCAAATCCCAAGCCTGACACTGACTCTTGCCTTCTGACTCCAGTCTGGTACTCTCTTTGATCTCAGACTCTGGCCTGACTCTGACCCTGATTCCAGCGTGGTACTACCTCTGACCTCTAGTCTCTGACTTTGGACTGCCTCTGACCCTGATTCTTGCTTACTGAACCTGGCTCTTGCAATTCCTCTGACTCCTGCTCAGTGACTACTATCCCTGATGTGTAGACCCAAGCCCAGCAGCGACCACTAGGCCAGACCACCAACACCCTGGTCCCTTACATGCTGTGGCAAAAAGGGTGAATGTGATGCTTGGCTGTAAAAACAGGGAAGCAATAAACAGGGAGATGATTTTACCTCTCTATACAGAATTCATGAGACCGATACTGGAATATTGCAGCCAGTTCTTCTGATTACATTTTAAAAAGGATGTTGAAAAATTGGAGAGGATGCAGAAAACAAAAGTTGTTCAAGGGCTGTAGAGAATGCCTTGCAGTGTGAAATTTAAAGAGCTCAATCTCTTTAGCTTATCAAAAAGAAGACTTACAGGTGACATGATTATAATGTATAAGTACCTTCATGGGGAGATAATACTGGGTTTAAAAGGGTCTTAAATCTCTTGGAGAAAGGCACAATAAGAACCATTGGGTGGAAGCTGAAGCCAGACATATTCAAATTAGAAATTAGGCACAAATTTGTAACAGCAAGCATGATTAATCACTTGAACAAGCTACTAAGGGAAGTGGTAGATTCTTCATCTCTTGGTGTCTTCAAATCAAGATGGGATGCCTTTCTGGAAGACATGCTTCAGTCAAACACAAGTTATTGGGCTCAATTAGGTGAAATTTAATGGCCTAGGACATAGAGGAGGTCAGACTAGATGAGCTAATGATCCCTTCTGGCCTTAAACATTATGAATCTATGAACTGCCTATGGACAGAGACTACAATCTAGTCTTGTGGTTAGGACACTGGATTGAGTAACAAGGTACGGGTTCAATTGCTGGCTCTGCCACAGACTTGTTGTGTGACCTTGGACAAGTCATTTAATCTCCATTCTCTTCTATATAGGTCCTTATACTGCACTCATCACCTTAGTATCTGGGCACCTTCCTGTAGCACATTAAGTAACATGACTAACAGCTGTCATGTGTTTGTTCTCTCATTCTCTCCAAAGGGGGAGTGTGTGCATGCAGTGGAGTGGTTTGTTTTTGAATATTTTTTATAATATACACACACCTCTGGTGCTATATGTTTAGGTTCCAGAGGCACTTTCTTTCTCTAACACGCTCTGTGACCTGGCTGTGAAATGACAGTTAATACTTCCTCTCTCTCACTCTTTGTCACTCTTCTCTAAATAGATGGTAAACTCTTTGAGGCAGGGACCATTTACTAGGGTCTTGGTCTGGTGCCTAGCACAATAGGGCCCGAGTTTCATCTGGCATCTACCCAGCTAGTAATACAGGTCAGAGGTTCACAAACATTTTATAAAGGCAACGCACCAACTGCCTTTTGCCTTTTTTGGGGACCCACCATAATCCTTGCTCCCT